TTTTTTATTTAAGAATCTGAGATTTTTACAATATATGATGAGGATGATGATAATAACTTCTAATCAAAGTAAGCTATTTACTTACAGCTAAGATAAAAATAAATTTACATGGCCATTAATACAGCTAATTTAAATTTAAATATACTCTTCTTTTGTATCACTTATAAAGAATAGAATACCTTCGTTCATCACTGTTAATGATATTTCAGCTGTAAACCCAATAATATCTCGTGAAGTTCAGCCAGCTTAGGAGTTTTAGGTCAATCATAAATACATATACTAATTATGCAAACAATCTTTATGATGAAAGTGTAATACTCAAAATAAAATTTAAAAGTAATAAAACTAGATTATATTAAACATTCCACAATACTATTAATGAAGTAACTACAAAGAAAGCACAGAGTATACCTTATCTGCAGAACATAAAAAAAAAAAACAGCATTCAGCCCTCCTTATATAGTGCCAGATGTCTACTTCAGCAGCCATCCATGTTTATAGAGAACCTGTTACCAATGTTTCCTGTTCACCATGGCTCCCATTCTGCATTTACAGCCCCGGCTCATTAGATCCATGGCTGTAATTTGCAAAAAAGACAATTGTGTCTTTCTGCTGGTCAGACCATTAATTACAGACAGTCGTATCTTTCTGCTGGTCAGAGCTTCGACCAATCACACAGATAACCAATTGAGTCGTTATTCACTTGACCTAGTAACTAAGTGCTTGTAATACAATGTTCTTTGTTTATGGAAGACTGGGTTTTTTCATAAACTTTTCACATCTACTGCTCACATTATTTACATTAATACTTTTCTACATTAATACTAAATTATTATCTTATTGATCTTTTTTTAAAATTTATATTCAACTTGTTTATATGTAAAGCTAAACTTCTGTAAAAGGCAAAATATAAAAAATGTGATGAGCCTTCAGAAAGTATCAATCTTAAATATCGCAAAGAAAGTAATTATCAAAAACTAATGTAAAGTAACAAGTAACATAATATATAGCTAATGTTAACTATTCAAACAAGGTAAAACCAGTGGTAGTCAACACACTAAATGTTTACTTTTCCCAAGGAATCAAAGTGTAGATGTGAAAGTTTTTGAGGTGTAATTAATTTAACACTGGCCCTGTGTCATGGTGTGTCAGTGTGGGCTTATCTTATAAAATCACATTCTTGAAATAAGACATAAATATAGAAATTTGTGTACTTCTTGAAAAATACATACAAGTTGTTAATGGTATTTTATAGTTTTTTCAAAATGGTTTGATTTGCTTGATACGTATACAGGTTTGGTAAAGGTACAAGTGAGTATGGATTTTATAACCTTAAACATTTGTGTTGTATTATAACATTTATCTTAATTTTCTATATGAATGATCCAAAAGTACTTAACAAGTTTAATCTTTCTGTAGAACTTCACAGAAAGAAGTTTGAATGTTATGGAAAAGTCTTACAATAGATTAATAACAGAGGTCAAGGAGAAACACAAGCTAGAGCTAGAGAGATTGAAAACTGAAAAGGAACAAGCCTTGGACGAAGAAATTAAAGCTACTAAAACAGGCAAGATCCAAACTTTAGTATAGGGTAGCTTATAACTTTTTAAAATTACATTCAGTTTGATAGTAAAACAGAAGAAAAACTAAATGCTTTATTTATTAAAAAAAAGGTCAACAAGATGTTGTAAATATAATGTTAACAATGAATTCCATCCCCATGCTGTTGCCTTAATGTAGTATTAGAGCAGTGCCAAAAAAGTTAATTTTGACAGCTGTTTCTTTCCCCCCTAATTCAAATAAGTAATACTTTCCACAAGAAAAACAATTTTACAGTAATATTTTTAAACTATTTTTCTAAATTATATGCAAAATTTGATCAGCGTCTTAATTCTTTTAAAGTTTCACTAACCACTATATTGATATATAGAAGAAATGAATGAAATTGCTTATTTAAAGGCTGTTAATATGTTTAGCTTCTGTTGAATTTTATTCAAAATGATCATACAGATAGCTAAATTGACTTTTTTAGTGTTATACATGAGACAAAAGCTCTAAGTTTTGTTTATTTTTCAGATAGAAACATTTAAGAAAAATGTTTTCATGTATATGTTTGGCTTTTACTCATTCAAAAGGAAGAATGTAAGTTCACATCCCAAGCATCATTTTCATTTAATCAGTTTTGAATGGCTTTAATATTCTTCATGTGTTATTAGTATTTGATTTTCAGCTTTGGCTGCTATAAAGAAAGCTCACCAAAAAGAAATAGAGCAAGAAATCAGCAGATGTAAAAAGGAATGTTCGAAACAGATGGAAGATCCTGAAAGATTTGAAACACTGGACAAAGAGCATAAGTATGAGAATTCTATTACATGTTCACTCTTAGTGAGTTGACTCTTTTATAAGTGATAAGTAAATAAAGGCACCTGAACTCCTTGATATAAATATGTGTACTATAACAATTGAACTTTATCCCTTGTCTGTGTTCTAGTTAAGTTGCTTGGAATCAAGGTCATGTGGACTGTGTATTAACCTTTGTTTTGCAGAAAGTAGATGACATCCACTTTTTAAGTTGTTAAAGAGATTCATCTAGTTGAAAAGTGTTTACTTTGAAACTTGTTTAAAAATATATATTTCTCATTTAATCATGTAATTTTTAATATATTAAAATCATTTGAATCATTTAGATACTGTTTTTTTTCTAAAATTTTAGTTTACCGTAGAATAAGAGAAGTGCTAAGAAGGTACAACCTACAATTTGTTTAAATTCTTTCCCTTCTATTTTCTCTCATTCTTGCATAATTTTATCTCGGAACATTTTGCAGTTTTGAAAAGATGCATTTTATTTGTGCAGCAATCCTGCTACAGTATACATAAAGAAACCACTTTATTATAAAAATGCATTACCTCTGATTTGTTTTGTGTAATGTTATTCCACCAAGGTTTAGTTGATGCTTTCTTATTTAGTTTTACTGTGTTTTTTGTTGTTTTTTTTAGTTTTACATTGGGTTTTTTTTTTCTCTGTCTTAATTGCAAATGGAAAGCACAAAGTTAAAGTTGTTCAAAATTTTTTTAAAGCTACTGATTATATCAACTATTATATAGTATCATGATATTTGCTGTTTATTAATTGGATTAGTTATTATTTATAACTAAAAATTCATTCTAACCTCTAGGGATACAGTTGCTGAACTCGGGAAAGAAATGGTGTTTTTATCTGAGAAATATTCCATGAAATGTTTGGAAAATGCTGCATTGAAAGAACACTTGGAAACACTTTGTTGTAAAAATGAACAAAAATAAGGTTAGTTTATTTATTTGAAAACAAGGAAGATGGAAAACAGTAATACATAAATATTTAGCTGTTTAATAAATAAAATACTTCATGCAGACAAACTGACCAAGAAAATGAGAGAGATTCTTTCAAGGGAACACAAATACATTCAAAACGAAAAGACATATAAACAAAATTAAAAACTTTCCAAAAACTTGTTTATTTTATTATATGCAGGTTGTGTACATCTTTCACGTTTTTTTTATGATTGTGTGATTGTTTTAAAAATAACCAAAATATAAATGTTTAGTAATTAGTGGGACTCTTCTAACTAACCTGTAGATTTGAATAGTTTAAAAAGTATAGTTCAGTGATGTGGTAAGTATAATTAAGGCCTGGTGGTTAGGATGCTTGACTTGTAATCACCAGGTCGTGAGATCAGAACTTATCATTAAACATGCTCACCCTTTTCAGCCATTATAATATGACAGTCTCTGTTAGTTGATAAAAAAAACAAAATGGTGGAATAGTTAGTACTTTTACTTTATCACTAAAATTAGGAATGGCTAACTCGGATAACCTTAAGTAGCCTTGTACAGAATTCAAAACAAACATTTGTTTTTTTGTATTGGAAAGTATTTTAAGCTTAGCTTGATTTGAACATGTATTAAAAATACTATATTTGTTTATGAATTAATTCTGTAATTTTTAGAGATAATACTGCATATTTGTAAATTTTATGTAACAGAAACCTCTGAACTGCTGTAAAACTAACTTTATTGTAAGAGTTGGACTGCCTCTTCCATAATTTTATTATTACTGAAATTCTTGTAAAATAATTATTTTTGTCTGATCAAAAGTAAACTTATCATGTATATCGGAACTAAAAAGTAAATTTAAGATAAGCTAACAGCACAAAATAATCTTCATAAATGTAAAATTTAATAATATTTCAAAGTCTTTTAAGCATTACAATCAATAATATTTATTAAAAAACTTCAGAATAGACAGGAGTATGTTATTACAAAATACATAACCAGTTGTGTGCTCCTAAAATCCATACAGCTTACTAATATACAAAACCTGAATACATTTATTAAAATCCATACAGCTTACCAATATACAAAACCTGAATAATTTATTAAAATCCATACAGCTTACCAATATACAAAACCTGAATACATTTGTGGACATGTATTTACAGTACTGCACATTCAGTAACAAAAACTGATCAAAGAAATATAAAGATTAGAACTCATAAAAAAACATTAATGAATTTGAGTGTGGGTCAAAGTGTGCATGTCACAACACTTTATAGTATGTAATTCAACACGCTATAATGAATTTGAGGTCAAAATTATCAATTTTCATCTTACCCTACATTGCTCATATCACAAAAGTTTGTGTTAGAGTACAGAAAATACCAGATACAGTATACAGGGATACTGAAAATTTTTTAGATATGCATTTAGAGGTTATGGCAGTGCACTATGCAAAACGGTATAATGGACAAAAGCATTTTTATCCTCCACGTGAACATCACATTGCACTCCAACGTAATCTGACTTCTTCATTTCACTGACTTCTTTTGACTATGAAAACTTTATCAACACATCTGATTTCTTGTGTACAATAGACTTGTGCTGTTAACTAAGAGCTTGAAACATTTCATGAAGATGCACTTCATAAATTTGGAATTATAGTCAACATTACTTTCTAATACAGGGTCAATACAGTGGACCAATCTTGTGAACATCTGTTTAATGTTGTTACTGGTTCCCTGAAAAAACAATGTCATGACTACATAATACTCTAAAATTAGGAACTTGATGAATATTAACCAGTTATATGAATGAATGGAACAATATAAAATAAAAATTGGTTCAAAATATGAAGCTTTTAATTAAATTCAAGTGATACAATGAATACAAGTTATATAATTTACTGTCAGAAATTATGAAACATCAAAGTCAAATCATATGAGCTAGCCAAACAGTACATTTAGAGGTAGGAGGTATAGGAAGAATAGAATCTGAAGCAATAGCTATTTCACAAATAAGGAATGCAACTTATTAAATATATATTTTTTTATTATTATTGTGGATAGCCCTTTTTTTCACTCCTTTAACAATATATAATACTTTTCAGTTTTTACTCTTCACATCCTGTTTGTAGCACCTAGCAAAACTTTTAGAGCAGCAGAAAAATCTATATTTTCCAAAAATTATTGAACTCAATTGGTAAAAGAAAGGAAATGGATAATGTTCCTTGTGTACTGTTAATTTTTATCACTATAATTTCATTCATGTTTGTCAATTCTGTTCTGTAGGTTTAAATTTAATGAAATTTCTTTGACATCCTTATAGACATTCTTTTTTTAGCATAATTTCAGTTGTTGAACATTTGTTCTTGTCTTTCAGTAACTCTTCATTACGGTTTATTGCAAGCCTACTTCACAGTAGTTGGATGTCATTATCTATAGTGAGGAGTGTCATATCATACATGCTAATATTGTAAATATGCTGAAAGTAACATGTTTGTAATAAGATAGCTTTCTAATCTGACAAGTGGTCTTATGATTGCCTCTTTATAAGAACTTATCAAACTTACATAAGTAAGTAAAGTCCAGTGCTTTCACTTAATCTTTTTTTCTGAATTATTTTTTGAAAACCAAATTTAACATTTATAGATATATTTATCTCTGAAGCAATGCCTTAGAATCTGTGAGTGACTTTTTTATTCCAAATTCTGTCTCGTTGGTTTCATTGGATTGTTTTTTTACTAACAAAATTAGTTAACAGCATATTGTAATGTTAGTCCTTGTGTGGTAATCTAATTACAGAATAGTTGTATTTAAATATCCATTGAGAAGTAGTGAGAAGCAAACATTTGTAATTAATTTTGGGGTTGGGCCCTAACAAGTAATTTCATTAATTGGTACATTTTTTGATTGTATTATCTTTGCGATAACTGTCAATCAGAATT